ACACGCCAATCCAGGGCCGTTCTTAACACATAGGATTTTTAACGATATAGGATTTTTAATACATGATTGATTTGTGAATGGATACATGCACGAACTCGTCGTTGTTTTTAACACTGAATCCCTGCATTTTTTATACATGATCCGCACGCGGAGCCTGTATCAAAAACGGCAGTGTACGGTGATGGCATTGGAGAATGAAAACTCGACCAGGAATCCAAGGTCTGGAAGCCAGTGGAAAGCCACTCGTGGGCCGGCCATGGATATCACCACCGCCCTTATCCGGCAAGGCACCCTCCAGGGTCTGAAGCATCCTGGGCGCATTCCTTCACCAACGCCCCCCACCGTACAGTAGGGGCTCGACCAAAGGAAACCTCCCGCAAGAAACCCAACCCTGAGGCCCCAGGACGTCCCTTGATCTCTGGTGCGAGAGCGTCGCGTCCTCCATCGCAGAACCATCGAAACCCAAGAAACCTTGGGCACCCTGGAGGCAAGCAGGGTGTTTCTTGGCATGGGTCTCCACCGTAACCACTGTCCACGAACACTACGAAGTCCACTCTGCTTCCAGATCTGGCCCACGCGCGGGCGCCCCGCGACCTCCCTGCGCGGGTGCTGGACAGGCATCGCCCGGTGCTGCTCATGTGCCGGGAGGGCGGGTGGCAGTGACCGAGACGTCGAGCACCTCGTGAGCAGGAGGTGTCGTGACCCCACGCCCTACAGTCGGGGCCTTGACCTAAGGAACCCCAAATCAGGAACGAGGCCCCTCTTTATCCAGAAGTTGAACTTCGGCTTCCCATCGAAAACCCAAGGCAAACCTTAGGCAAGCCGTGACACAATCAAGGAACACCGAGCCCCTCCCCAACGAAAAAGGTTCCTTCTTCAGGGCCCCGACTGTACCCCTGTCTCCTAGGCCTGGACGGGGGGCGGGGCGAGGTGCGAGAGGGCCCCTTTGGTTGAAGATGGCTCCAAGATGAGCGCCCCAGATGCTGCAAGATGGCCTCCACATTAGATCACGACGCCTCGAGATGGCTCAGGATAGCTTCCGACATGCCTCCGAGGGGCTACAAAACCGCTCCAAGATGGTTCCAAGTGCTCCCCGAACCTTCCGAGGCACCCTGCAAGGGGCCCACAGACTGCAATCACTAGGAGGAAACCAATGTGTGTTTGACCTTCTCGTCAGTTGGCGCCCGATGGGTTTTTGAAGCCTCATGACTCATGATGGTCCTACGACTGCCAAAGAGCCTGGGCCCCAAGAACGTTCAAGAAGGCTCCAAGGGGCACTTTGTGGGCCTACGGGGGGGGCGGACCTGCTGAATTTAGCCCCCCCCCCCCCCTTCCTCTGTTTGAACAGTGGGCCCGCCATTGCCCCAGGAAGCCTCCCCGACGCCCCCACAGAGCCCCAAGAGGGCCCCAAGAAGGCCCCAAGGGAGCCAGAAGGCTACCAAAATAGATCCGAAATGTTCCCAAGAGGTCACCAATAAGCACCCAAGAGGCTCGCGGATCGAAAGCTCCGCGAAGGCTGCATGGTTGATTCGTCGCTGTCGTCGTTGCCTTCATCATCGTCTCCTTCTTTCATTGCCATCCTTCTAGTGGCTCTTCCTCTTCTTCTTCTCATTACTATGATTCGTCTTCCTCTCCTTCGTCTTCTTCTTACCACTATTATTATTGTTCTTCTTCTTCCTCTCCTCCTCCTCCGCATCCTTCCCGTTTTTTATTCCCACTTCCTGCTCTGGCTGTCAAAGATATGGCGACCTCCCCGCCCCGAGAGGGTGCCAAAAAATAGCTCCAAGAGGGCCCCCCAGAGGAACTCAATGCGGCCGCCGTGGCACAGGGACGATCTGCTCGATCCTTCGGCAAATATTCCCGCCGTTCCTGCGCACCGATACGTCTCCAAGGCGGCTGTTCCCCTGCATGCTTCTGCACTTCCCTGAGCAACGCAACTCGCCTGGCGATCGCTGCTGGACGGGCTGGTGAGGATACGCGAGGCGTCAAAAGTTTGAAGCTTACGTCTGCAATTCGTGGCGGAGGTATCAGGCCAAAACCGCGCCTCGGACACCCTGAGTCTCACGTCCGGCAGCGGCTGTTACCCCCGGGGTTGGGATAGGGGACTCGGGGGCCCAGGGCGAGGGGGTAACGCTTGTCACCAGCCTCGAACGCATGCCCGTCCCTGTAAGACTGGCCATCGCTCGGACGTCCGTTCCCTGTGCTTTTTTCGGTTTCGTGCGTGGTTTTTTTCGCAGGATGATCTATTTGGACGCCCGAAGTGGGTACGGAAAAAATGGGTACAGTACCCAACAACAAATGTTGTCCCAAACCAGCAGCGGCCGCTGTTGGGCAGGCTGCCTTCTGTCTCGAGTGGACACAGGCCGCGGCGGCGTGGACAGCGAATCCTGCTCAAAATGAACAGGAACTGCTGTTGGGTATTGTGCCCATTCTTTCCGTACCCATTTCGGGCGTCCAGAATCTAGGATGCTCCTCGATGGTCCGCACCGAAGGAAAATGCACACGTCCGAGCGATGCCGAGAAGATTGGCAGGCCGCAGGGCAACACACACTCTCGGGGAGGCGCCCTCCGACACTGGGGCGGCCTCCCTGCGCTCGGCAGCGGGACGCGACGATCCCAACGACCATAGGGATGAGGACGTACAGGGCAGTTTTTAACACATTGGTTTGTTTTTTAACATCGGGTTTTGAAGACACGAGTGATCTATGAATAAATGTATGCGTGAGCTCGTCGTTGTTTTTACTACTAAATCCCTGCATTTTTAATACATGATCCGCACGCGGAGCATGTATTGAAAACGGCACTGTATGCCTGTCCCTGCGGCTGGCAGGCCGCAGGGGGGAGGACACTCTCGGGGGAGGCGCCCTCCGAGACTGGGGGCATCCCCGAGATCGGCATCGGGAGAAGGCGATCCCAAAAAGCATCGGGTTAGGTCGGGCATGTCCTCCTTCAGGAGGATTTGGGACGCGAAATGATCAAAAGAAAACTCAAACAATCGTCAACAAATAATGGAACAATCGTCCCCAGGCTATGTTTTGACAATGTCTGGATCTTCCTCCTGTAGAGGGACAGTCCCGACTTAAAACGTATGCCTGTCCCTACGACTGGCAGGCCACAAAGCAATGCCAATCTTGGAGAGGCGCCCTCCGAAACTGGGGGAAGCCCTGAGCTTGGCATCGGGCGAAGGCGATCCCAAAAACATAGGGATCAGGATGTGCTTCAGGTTGGTGGGAGGCGCCCACCGAAACCGGGGGGAAGCCTTGAGCTCGGCATCCGGCGAAGGCGATCCCAAAAAGCATAGGGATCAGGACGTGCTTCAGGCTGGTGACCAACACCTTCTCGTCGGCGGCGTTGCGGAGGCAGCCCGCACCAGCGCGTGGCGAATCGGGGCAACCGATCAGCGAATTCTGCGGCGTGCAAGAGAGAGAGAGAGAGAGAGAGAGAGATAGAGAGAGAGAGAGAGAAAAAGAGAGAGAGAGAGAGAGAGATAGAGAGAGAAAAAGAGAGAGGTGAAGACGAGGGCGGCCGCGCGAAGGGTGGAGGGGGAGGGCGCACAGATGGGGAAGGTGACCAAAACGCGCAGCTACGGTGGGTGTTCTCGCTTCTTTTCCCGCTTCTTGTCCCGCGTAGAGGAGGAGTAGGAGGAGGAGGAGGAGGAGGAGGATGAGGAGGAGGAGGAGGAGGAAGAGGAGGCGGAGGAGAAGGAGGAGGAGGAGAAGGAGGAGCAGGAGGAGGGGGAGGAGGAGGAGGGAGGAGGAGGAGTATCGAGGAGCATCGATGAGGAGGAGGAGGTGGAGGAGGAGTATCGAGGAGGATCGAGGAGAAAGGAGGAGGAGGAGGAGGAGGAGGAGAGGAGGAGGAGGAGGAGGAGGAGGAGGATCGAAGAGGATCGAGAAGGACCGAGGAGGACCGAGGTGCTCCCGCTCCTTTTCCTCCGCGCGCCCGTGCCGCCTCGCCCCGCCCCGCGCCCGACCCGGCAGGGACGGCCGCCGCCTCTCCGGCCGCTGCCGGCCCCGGCTGGGGACGACAGGGCGCCCGGCGAGGGGGGGGGGAGCACGCGAGGGGGCCGAGGAGCAGGAGGAGGAGGAGGAGGAGGAGGAGGAGGAGGAGGAGGAGGAGGAGGAGGAGGAGGAGGAGGAGGAGGAGGAGAAAGAGGAGGAAAACAAGGAGGTAAAGGAGGGAAACAAGGAGGAGAAAGAGGAGGAAAACAAAGAGGAGGAAAACAAAGAGGAGAAAGGGGGAGCACGCGAGGGGGCCGAGGAGCAGGAGGAGGAGGAGGAGGAGGAGGAGGAGGAGGAGGAGGAGGAGGAGGAGGAGAAAGAGGAGGAAAACAAGGAGGTAAAGGAGGGAAACAAGGAGGAGAAAGAGGAGGAAAACAAAGAAGAGGAAAACAAAGAGGAGAAAGGGGGAGCACGCGAGGGGGCCGAGGAGGAGAGGCTACAGGGCAGTGTTTCATACATCGGATTTTTCTAAAAATATATGATTTTCATACATGATTAATGTATGAACAAACTTCTGCATGAACTCATCGATATTTTTATGCTAAATCCCTGCACTCTTAATGCATGATCCGCACGCGGAGCATGTATAAAAAACGGCACTGTATCCCAGACCCCCGCCACTGATTGCGGGCACTTTGAGGAGTCACTTTGGGAAAGTCCGGTACTCCTGATATGCGGGGTTCAATGTGCGGGGCGAGAGTTCAAGAGAGCACTTGGGCCAGTGCAGTCAGTGCGGGATCCAGGCCTTTGGCGAGTCATGAAAGAAGCACGGCGGGAGGTTCTTCGCTGCTGTCGGCCCCTGGGGGCCCTGACCGAGACCCGGGGCCGTCGACAAGCGACTTCAGGATGAGCAGCTGGTCCGGGGGAAGGGGTCGAGATCTCTGGGGGCCGACGCCACGAACAAATCATGACGATAGGGGGCAACGACAGGGGGGGGGAAGAGGCATAGGGGGGGAGGGGAGGAGGAGGAGGAGGAGGAGGAGGAGGAGGGGAGGGAGGAGGAGGAGGAGGTGGAGGAGGAGGAAGTGGAGGAGGAGGAGTGGAGGAGGAGGAGGAGGATAGGCACAGGGGGCACGCGCCGACCTGGCATCGGCGACGCATCGGCGATCGGCACGGCGATCGGCACCCGGCAGCGGATCCGCACCTGCCTGGGCGGGTTGGGGGCCATCGGGCCCCCCTCGGCGCTCAGTGGGCGATTGGGGGTCGATTGAAGGGGAACTGGAACACACAAAGAAATACACACACATAAACATATCCCCCAATTTTCCCGTGTTTTCTGGGATTTTGTCTTCCCCCCCACTGCCCATAGTTTCCCATATTTTCTAGGAATCGCCGATTAATTGTGTCTGTGTGTTTTCTCCCCTCCTGATCGATGCATCCCCCCTGTGCCTAGCCGTGCCTATCGCTGCTCCCGAAGAGGCTATAGGCGGTGCGCCTGGGGGGGGGGCAAGTGAGAAGGGGCGGGCCTTCCCAGAAGGCCCGAAAGTGCTCCGGAGCCTTCCTCGAAGACGCAACAAAACTTGTCAGGAGGCGCGAAGGCTTCGGAGAAGTCACGCCGCCTTCTGAGACGGCCTTCTCCTTCTCCCTTCCCCCCCTCGTTCGCCGCCGAGAGGCGCCACGAGTGAGGAAGCGCTGCGCTCGAATCGTTCGCATGCCCATGGGGGCCGACTTCTGGGGGTCAGAGTCAGCGAAGGGCAAACTGAAGAATGACACTATGACGCCATGTGAAGAGAGGCTGGCCCGGGCGAAGGTTCTCCAAAGGAATTGCGGTTGTGCATGCACAAATGAGGAAGCACACGTTCTTGCATCGGAGGCGGCCTCGAACACGGATGCTCCCAGAAGACCAGCTCGCCTCTCCCTGGCCCTCGAGGGGCTGACCACCGCCTGCCGGCGACGGACTGAATTCGGGCCCTCGGCGAAGCCCCCCCCCCCCCCGGGGGGGGAGCCGCACGGACGCTTCGGCCCGCGCGGGCTCCCGCCGAGAGAACGGGGGCCTGAAAAAAGCACAGAAAATTGCGCCCGCACGGCGGGGGGCGCGGCGGCGCCCAGATCGACGGCGAGCCCCGGGGGGGAGGCGAGAGGGGGGGCAGGCTGCCTCAGCGCGGGCAAGGCGGCGCGGCGGCACCCAGATCGACGGCGAGCCCCGGGGGGGGGGGAGGCGAGAGGGGGGCAGGCTGCCTCAGTGCGGGCAAGGCGCGTGTTCGGCGGACCCGCTGCAGCTTGGAGCTTCGGGCTTCCTTCCCCGGAAGCCCGAGGCGCACTGGATCTGGATCATAATCTGGCCCCTGGGGGATCGGTTTCGGTCGGGCATGTCCTCCCACAGGCGTATGCGGGAGGGAAAGCAGCAATGATCAAGCATAGTCACAAGAGCACGAAACGCTGCCGCCATATTATGTTACGACTCTTGAACGTTCCCCCTGTAGAAGGACACGCCCGGTTGAAGGCTAAATGTTTCCATGTCCCGTGCGCCCCAGCCCCGTTGCGCCGCCACCGAGAGAAAGCCCAAGACGCACAGGATATGGATTTTCAAGTCTCGCCCGCGCGCAGAGGGCGGCGTGGGCTTCTCAGAAACCCTCGCGCGGTCTGGGAAGCGTTCTAAAGACGAGCGGGCTCCACGAGTCGCAAAGTAAATGCTCGCAAATGGCCTGATTCCGACGCGGGTGATCTACGATCTGCTACCTCGAGGCGACGAGATGCCTTGCGGACGCTTGTCATAGGAGCATTGCAAGTAGCGGAACGCGCTCGGTGATTCTATACGCCTTCTCCGGGGGCAGAAGGACGGCTTCTGAGGAGGCTGGAAGGGGGCTTCTGAAATGGCCCTGGCAGCCCTCTGAGAAGGCCTGCCTCCTCTTTCGAGCAGGAGATCGACTACACAATTAACTGTCTGACCCAAAATTGAGCCTCTCGTCGAATCTACGAATGATCTACAACACTTCTACGCGTGCGTCGTCGATTCGATTGGGGAAATCGACTTTGGGGTCAATGAATTCTGAAGTCGATCTGCTACTCGTTTCTCCCCCCCCCATGCTCGCCGCTGATTGCACTCAAGCAGCAGAAAACAACACCATCGGCACGGATGTTCTGGATCAGCCCTGGGCCCCCCCCAGCGCGCCAGGGGCGGGGACCGGGTCGCCGCGGGGGAGGGCCTGGCGCAGATCCCCGAGAAACCCGCGCTGACTCATGGCAAATTGATGTTTGCGCAAATGTTTTTTCTACGGCCCCTGTGGGGGTCAGCGATGGGGGGGCGAAGGGCCTTGCCTTGCCTTGCCTTGCATTGCCTTGCGCTGCCTTGCCTTGCCTCCTCCCACTCCTCAGTTTCTATGTTTTCTTCTTTTCCCTCCTCCTGAGCCTCCTCCTCCTCCTACTACCATTACTCTTCGTATTCGTCTTCTTCGTTTTCTTATTATTCTTCTCCTCTCCTCCTCTCCTCCTCCTCCTCCTCCTCCTCCTCCTCCTCCTCCTCCTCCTCCTTTCCCTCCTCCTCCTTTTCCTGCTCCTCCGCCTCCGCCTCCGCCTCCGCCTCCGCCTCCGCCTCCTCCTCCGCCTCCGCACGGATTTGTTGGATCGGCGAAGAGCCCCCGTGGGAAGAGATCCGCGCTGCGTTCGGACTATGTCCCGACCGTCCTGTGGTGTTGGGTCCTCGTTTTGAAGAGGCAGCGCCCCGCGCCCCACTCCTCTCCTCTCCTCTCCTCTCCTCCTCTTCCCCTCCTCCTCCCCCTCCTCCTCTCCGCCCCCACTTTGAAACAACCCTCACGCGCTTCGTGGCCCCATTGGGAGCTCCACCAAAGGCCCAAATGCCAGTGCTCGCATGCGCCCACCGCGCCAATGTTGTGACACACACCTCGCACGTTTCGTGGCCCCATAGGGAGCCCCACCGAAGTCCCAAATGCCAGCGCTTGCATGCGCCCGCCGCACCCATTTTGGCACGCCCGCCCCTCACCACACGGTTCGTGGCCCCATAGGGAGCCCAGCCGAAGTCCCAACTGCTAGTGCTCGCATGCGCCCACCGCACCCACTTCGGAGCTCCCCTCACGCGTTTCGTGGCCCCCCACAGGGAGCTCCACCGAACGCCCACATGCCAGCGCTCGCATGCGCTCACCGTGCCCATTCTGGCACACCCTTCACACGGTTCGTGGCCCCATAGGGAGCTCCACCAAAGGCCCAGATGCCAGCGCTCGCATGCGCCCACCGCGCCAATGTTGGGGCACTCCTCACACGGTTCGTGGCCCCATAGGGAGCTCCACCGAAGGCTCAAATGCCAGCGCTCGCACGCGCCCGCCGCGCCAATTTTCGGACACACCTCACACGCTTCGTGGCCCCATAGGCATGGCCCATAGGGAGCTTCACCGAAAGCCCACATGCCAGCGCTCGCATGCGCCCACCCCACCAAATGTGACACACCCCTCACACGTTTCATGGCCCCATGGGGAGCTCCACCGAACACCCGGATGACAGCGCCCGCATGCGCCCATCGCGCCCATTTTGACACGCAAATCTGATGTTTTTGTGGACCCATCGGGGGCTCCACCGAAGGCCCACATGCCACCGCTCGCATGCGCCGCCCATTCTGGCACACCCTTCACACGTTTCGTCGCCCCACAGGGAGCTCCACCGAGGGCCCAAGTACCAGCGCTCGCATTCGCCCATCGCGCCCATGTTGGCACACCCTTCACAGGTTTTGTGGCCCCAGAGGGAGCTTCACCGAATGCGGTGAATAACGACGACGGTGCCCGCAACTGCACATGGTTGGGTCGTTCGCCAGGCTAATTCTGCGTCTGCCGCTTCGTGCCCTTCGACGAAGCTTCGGCATACCTGCTTGGTGCCCTCCGAGCCTCCGTCGTGCGCACAGGCCTTTGCGACGGAGGTCGCCTCGACTGGGACAGGCCGTGCCCGCGCGCCAGGGCCTCACGCCTTCGCGGCCGCTCTGCTGCTGAAGCTGACCCGGCAGGGCTGCGCGGGCGCCACCACCATGTCGTACACCGGCTTCGTCACCCCGTCCACGGTCTCCACCTGGCCATCGCTCGGACGTCCATTCCTTACCAGCCTCGAACGTATCCCTATCCCTAAGATTGACACGCCAAAAGGCGATGACAATCTTAGGGATTCGCCCTCAAAAAATAAGGGAATCCCTAAGATTGGCATCGTGATGAGGAGGTGCCCAGCATAGGGATAGGGATATGTCCCAGGCTGGTGAATTCCCTGTGTTTTTTTCGGTTTCGTGCGTGGCTTTTTCGCCAAATGATCAGGGATGCTCCTCGAGGGCCCTCGCCGAAGGGAAAGTGCACTCGCCCGAGCGATGCCAAGCCACCTGGGGCTTTTGCCAGGGACGGGCCTCGCCCGTCGAGGGGGTGGAGTGGGAGCGGCCAGTGCCCTCCTCGGCGGGAGGGCGGCGGGAGGGCGGCGGGGTCCGCCGACCCCCGCTTGCCGGGGGTGGAGAGGCGCGTGCGCGGCATGTGGTCGCCTGCCTCCCCTTTCGGGGATGGACAGACCCCCCTTTAGCAAAACGTGGTTTAGTGAAAACGACCTGAGGCCCAAACCTGGCGGGCGCAAGCCTGGAAAATGACGGCCACGGCGCCCTCTCGAGAACCGAAAACGGACAATTCACTAATCGACGTGTCACTGTTGGGGGTTCTGTCCACCCCCGACCCTTTTCCCCTTCCCCCACAATCCAAAACCGCGTTTGACGTGGGGCGGGGTCCCAGGGGCTCCCCGGAGGGAGTCCCCGTGCTCCCCCACGCTCGCCTGGGGCCTCCGGAACCCTCAAATCGGCACCCCGTGCCTTCCAAAGCACCTGAGATGCCACCTCAGCTGGCCTCCAATGCGCCGAAGAAACGTCACGTGCCCACGCCAATGAAGCGTCCTCCAAATGACTTCCAGACCGCCCACGTGCACTCGAAGACGCCCCAAGAAGGCTCCACGAGGACCCTTACGAAGGCCCCAAGAAACAAACTTCATCTCGATCTCTTGGGAGGACATGTATTTTCAGCACGCTCGCCTTT